CTATCAAAAACATCTTAAAACTCACAGTATCCGGAATTGTGTTTATACCTATGGAATAAATTATATATGTACCTCAATATCACATTAAAGAGTCTCAAAGTGAAGTATTTTAAAGCTTACATGCAACGCAAAACACTGACTTGGCCCATGCTAATTAAATTAATAGCCAGTTAAGTACACCTGTCTCCAGCTTGCACAGTGGCCCCTTCTGTAATTTTTCAAGTAGTTGTTTCAAATAGCGGTTCACCCGTGAAGGTCCAGGTTAGAATTGATCTTCAGTAACCCATGCTTGTCGTAACAGGCGACTAACGGGATCGGGTGGTCAGACTTGCTGACTTGGTTGACACATGTCTTTGATTCCCAACTGCGCAGATCAATGCTCATGATGTTGATCACTGGATTGTCTGGTCCAGACTTGATTATTTACAGACTGCCGTCATAAAGCTGAAAGCTCCTGACAGGTCATTAATGACAAATGGCCGGATTGGGTGTGCTGATTGAGTGTCGTGCCGCGAAGGCTGAATTGCCGCGAAGGCTTCCTGAGGAAGCAGCACAATGTAGTACCCGACCAGGTTCATGGACTACGTGACCACCACCTGGATCGAGGGATCATGGACACTATCCACGTGGAACCACTTCGGCAACGACGGACATAGGACGAACAACCACCTGTAGGAGTTCCACCACAAGATCAACAAGGTGGCAAGAAACAGCATTAATTAGAAGAGATTATCATCAGATACTAATCTGAGATAGGTAAGGGATTATCTTCTTTACCTTACTTCTGAGAAATTAGAAGTAATAACGTGAACCAAGAACAACATGTGATTTCAGTCTGATAAAAATTATCAAAACATGATTCATTTCTTTCCTTATTTCATGTTACTAAATAACTTTTTCAAAATGGTTTTAACCATGTTGTCAATATCACACCACGTGTACACGCAGACAACATACTCGTCGTCATTGGGTCAGTTCATAATATTCTGAGGGGTGTTTTCCTATTCCCAAAACGCAAAACACCACTTTGCAGATTCTGATACCTTTCGGTATGGACTTACAGTAACAAATTATCAAAAATGCAAATCAGCTTATAAAGTTGAAAAATAAATCGATGAAAAAAAACCCGCGAAGTCGGAGTTCAAACGATTCACTAATTTCACCCCATCGGTGGGGTAAAAACTGGTTTCAGCAGCGATTAGGTTCGCGCGGCTTGAACCGGGAAGGCGACTCGTAAAATCACAGCAAGTGATGCATGCAAGGATTATCGCTGTGGTCGAAATTGGAGAACAAAAGATGTTTCTTGTGATTGCAAGCATCTTTGGTCTGCAGTAATAAAATACACTGGTCCCATACTTTTTCTTATATGTCTTCACATCTTGCTCTTTGGGGGTTGGCAGATTTGCAAACCAAGTCTTCAAGAAAGTGTAGCATTAGAAATACTAATTTCTTTGTTAAAAAATGCTCAGCTTGAAAACTGAAATGTTTTAATACATGTCTATGGAAACATAGAAAAATATGTTAATTGTGATAAGCAGTCTCTGTCACAGACAAAACTCAGTGTCTGTTTTATTGACATCTGTGTGTCTGCCTGCCTGTCTGCTAATGACAATATGCAATACACAACTTCAATCATTGACCACATGCAATTTGAATTTGAAACGTATCAGGCTATACACCATAAACAAAATACATTGATTTATGGCTCGTGCACCTGAGTTCTGTCTGTAATTACACAGACAGGCAGGTGTGATACTTGTACACATGACATGTTATTATGTCTGTGGGTTACAAACAAACTGCATCCATTTTTCTCGGATGACTGGATCAGACGGAAACCAGTGCAAACTCAAATTGTCAGTTTCAAGTCTTGCTTTGTACTTGGATGAACGACAGTTTCGTGCCACGCAGTAGTAGTTCACCATCTCAGTATTTGTTGATTGGATAGAACGCAAATGCAGAAAAAATGAGCATGTATTTACAAAACCCAACATCTCTATATACACACACAATGAACAGCCAATGGCAAATGAACCAGCCAATGAAAGTCGTCGTTACCCTTGAGTGCACACACACCCGCTCTGACTGGGTTTGGTCTCCCGGGTGCTTCCTTTCGAGGGAAGTAAACCCAAATACAAAATATTGCACTTTTGATTTGCGATTGTACGCTTATAATTTTGTTTATTTGTTTTTTCATAATCAGCAATGTCATGAACAGGGGTTAATTGTGTTTTAATTATGTTTGTTTTTTGGTTGCATGTGACCTTTAAGATTGGGTGGGGTGGGGGCGAGGGAGGGGGCACTGATTTTGTACGGGACATACAGGGGGTCACTTACTTCGTACATAAATTTTAGGGAGAACGTGATTCACATTATACATGCTCCTCCATAAAAAAGCATCATCACCCCTCCTAGCCATAAATTATGAACGGTCCTTTACAGACATAGATAAATGTTTTTGTAAAACCAAGACAAATTAGTTTTGAAATGAATTTTCAGCTCGCCAGTGGGTCAAACTGTTTCGACCATTATGGACTGACATTTATTACTGAGTTTTGAGTAAAAGTAAATAATGTTGCGTACATATACGTTCTAATAAACATTTCAGTCTTGGTTTTAGGAAGGGTCAAACACTTCTTTTCAATGAGTAAATAACTTTTTATTCATGGGAATAAACGTACTTCAGCACGATGCTTTCAAGCTTAAGGTGTATGTGCATGGACCAGTGTCAGGGCAATATAAGTATGACCTAAGACTTCAATGGTAGCTTACTGTTACATATATACATTGACTATTGATTTATTGATATATAAATGAATAAATGAATAAATTTAGGGGGTGGGTATTGCAGAGAATTTTCATATTGCGATGCGAAAGCATATATTGCGATATGTATTGCGATATATTGCAAGAAGTTGTTTTTTAACAAAACAATACTTATAATCGAGTTAATGCTTGATTTATAAAGCAAAATAACACACAACAAAATCACTATGCTTGATTACGCTTTAATAAAACTTTTAATCATTACAAAATAAAAATGGAAATAATATTTGGCACAAATGAAACAAGGAAAAGAACAAGTTAACATCAACACAGTGGTTACTAGTTTGAACTAGTTTCTCCACTCCAAAAAACAGCCCTCAGTTTTAGACAGCAACTTGACCTGGTGAGCACATATCAGATATCACTGGTCATAAATGAGTAAATATTTAAAACATTCAGATCCCAAAAATTGCGAAACACTTGAACAAAAATTAAGAACACAACTTCAAAGCAAATAATCCTGTTAAATGTAATTTTCACCACGATCATTCCCAACACCATTACCGTTACCGCAATTGCCTAAGTCAACAACATCTTCATCACCATCATCACCACACCATTACCAAAATCATCACCATCACCACCACCACCACAATCATCACCCCACCATTGCCACAAAGATCACCATTTATCACAACAATCATCAACATCATCATCATCACCATCATCACCATCATCACCACCACCACAATCATCACCACACCATTGCCACAAAGATCACCATTTATCACAACAATCATCACAATCATCAACATCATCATCTTTATCATCATCATCATCACACTACTGTCTGTGTGAAAAACAAAACGGAAATATCAGAAGATTTCCGAGTATTACGAAGTTTTCCGAATGCATGTCAAAATACCGGTTTTCGGTATCGTGTTACGATGGCATTGGAAATGTGCTGCCACCTGTTGTTGTCTCATTCCTGCTCGAATCATTCCAATGGCTTCATGATGTTGAGCAGGTGTTGATCTTGGCATGAAGTGCATGTGACTTCTCAGGTGAATTTCGTGAACGTTTGAATGGCCCAAAGATCAGGCTTTCAAAACTGACAGCAATTTCTGAGTTTCACATGTTGTGTGCAGATGCACGGGTTGCACGTGTAGTAGCACATTGCAAGTCCATCGGCCCCCATCAATGACGACACTACGCCTGGCACGTGCATGAGCGTTTGATTGTCTCCAATACTTGCTGTGTTCACGCATGTATTTATGTATAAAGACGCTGTGTGTGTGCCTATGTTTATATTTTCGGTGTGCACAGTTTCTTTATGTGGCTAGTCATGGCTTATTTATAGTTATGGCTTATTTAACTGGGTCATCTGAATAACTCGATAGTTACTAAGATTATCCTTTTTGTCGGTGTTCGAAAAGTGCAGTCTATTTAAAGCATCAGTTACTGAATTATAATGAAGGGTTAAGCTATTGGTAACACTATTTCTTAAAAAGTTGTAAAATCGTCGTTTTTGTTTGATATATATGAATAACTGAATATTTTACAAACTTTCTTAACAGTATGGAAAAAACATCAGGCCGTTGAAATGTCATTATTACGTTCTTTAACGTCCAATACATTCTGTTACAAATGGCACATGTTTCATTCAAATTGTCAATTTGGAAATCCACCTGGCACTTAATGTCAATAATTTGCACGTGCAAGTCGCTTTATCCATGGAAAGTGCAGGACAATACACATGCATTGATGCGTTTTCACTGTCGTTCACTGTTCAGGTACCTGTTTGAAATGGCAGCTTAAAATGAGACGTTGTGTGACACTTGCTGAAAGGGGTCAGGCTATAGGCATTTTGAAATCTGGTCAAATTCAGCGGCAGGTTGCTGTCCGCTTTAATGTGAGTCAGAGTGCTATTGGTAGACTGTGGCAGAGATTTCAAGCCAATGGGTCCGTGGAATATGCTGAAATATGCTGATGTTTGCTAGTGCTGTTTGAAGTTTTTGTCTGTCTGTGACGTTTGTCTATACATTATACATTATGATCACACTCTTAGTTCTATTACTTCTGAGAAACTTTTCTTTGCGTGCGATATAATCTCACGGGCGAAAGAAACGTCACCAAAATTATTTTTTTATCTCTTATCGTACACCAAGTGATTATTCATATCAGTAGTTCACACTTTCATCATTCAAAATGTTGTATATCCATTACTATTGTTTTGTAACATGTTAAAAAAGCGAGGTGACGTTTCTTTCTTTGAATTTACCATTTGACCCTTTATTAATGACGCCAAGTATATGTAAGGACAAGGGGAACTTTTGGACTTGATTATTGCCCTTGGTTTGAGACTGACCTATAGACTAAAACAAAAGTTCATAAATAATGATGCTGAACGTCGCGTATGAATACAGCAGGGAGAATCACACAGTTCCCGTTGTCAGAATTAACATCGGTTTTGAAACACGACTTGACATATCATCAAATACAATTCTGGGGTCCTCTGTACGTAATTCACAAGATTACATAAACTGTATAATGCAAAACACTAATCTGAGTCAAAAGAAAGGTAACCCCATTGCGGCATAGGCTGGCTGTCACAAAGTTAAAATGGCGGGCGTCACCGAAACACGTAGCTCGGCCCTGATCACCAATTCATAAAAGAATGGATAACAATTAACAAGCGTCAAGGGATTATAATCAGTTTGTCAAAGGACAGGGTGAGATTAATCCATATCTGATAGTTAAATTTCGTAACTGGACGATTAGGGCGAGGAAATGTCAAATAGTTACGTCAGTTATAAAACACTTGAAAAGGTAAACAAGATCGTTCTGACAGGCGACGTTGTTGACATTGACTCTTACAAATTACAAATGTGTTCTATTATTTAAATATTCGTTGTAGCCATCACAATAGTCTCGCCCACGGGCAAGATATATTTATATCGCTCTAAATAAGCCGAATAAGTCAAAATTATTTAAATCATTTGTCACGATACTTGTAAGCATACTTTCATTAATTTGCACCCTCCAAAATATGAATTCTGAGCGAAACTAAACATTCTCGCCTAAATAAAATGTTGCCATTTTTTCATCCTTAGCGTATATTCATGACAACTGCATGTTAAATTTCGTCAAATCCTTTGTCAGAAATTGGCCACAGTGCGGAGAGTTTCTGGACTTTGGGGTTTCCAGAATTAAATTTGAAGTATTCTTGGAATCAGGGTTTTCTTGTGCAGACTGACGAGTCAGAATCCCTTCCTGTAAAGTGTACACATTCTCCTAAAGCATGTTCAAGCAAATTCACATCAGCAGTATTTCAGCAATATCGTGACTAGGAAAGTTGTAAATTTATAAATGAATAAAAACAAATTGGACAGTAAAATAACTAGAATATCAAGTTATAAATATAAAACTAGTACGAAAACCTAAAACATCTTAACTATAAATGGCAATACAACATAAACAAAACAAGCTGTAGATCGCCAACAAGGTAGATCACCATCCTAGGGACCATGAAGACTTACAGTACATTTGCTTCCTGCATGGACCCTAGCTGGATTTGCACCATGCCTTCAGCTGATTTCTCTCAGAGAATGCTCTCCGCGAATAGCTGCCACATTGCTGATTCGGTGTTAAACAATGTTCATTCATTCTCACTCAGAGAATGCTGATAATTATCTCAACCAAAAAGTGCGCAAAAGTCTTTCATTCCTGCTCTAGGTGCAGGTGAAAATCACCAGAACAATTAATTCATCAATAGCAACGATAACGAGACCTGCCACCACAAATAGGATATTTGATAGTAAGGACGTGTTTGACGTGTGAGAAATCAAATGAGGCACTCGTGAGCTGCAAGGGATTCTTTACATCTCAAAACTGGAAACATATGTTTTAATAGGAAGCTGAAAAAGCAGAATGACTGTCCATGGCTAATACTCTTTCGCGCTAAATCTGCTGTGTCCCACGAATACAATGTAGGATAGCTTATGATTCAGATGTGCTTTTCTCGACCACATCCATGTATGAAGCAATAGGAGGCAGAGCGTCACCATATTTCTGCAACAATTCCACAGCTAGGTCCAGGGCGTGTGAGGCGTTGTCAGCAATGACTGTGTTCGCCAGACCACGTGTCCAGGTGTTGTGGTATGAAGATAACTTCCGGTATGAGTTGTCAATCAACACGTGAGGAATGTCCAGTAAAGTGCTGAGGATATGTCCATGTAATCTGTCTGTAATGACAACACGACCTCGCTGGAGAAATATCAAACCATTATTGGCCATCAGGAAAGCAGTTTCCATTGTTGTATTTCCTTTTGGTGTTTTCCAACTCCACCAATCTGAACAGTGTACTGTAATCCCTGGCGGAAGTTTTGGCAATTTATATCCAGGAGTCTCATCGTCTGAACGCTTCAACCACAAAATATCAAAAGAAGGGGAGATAAACCTTGGAACAGCACCAATCTGAAAAGCCATATCTGGAGCCATCATTAGTGTGGGTTTACCTTTGAAGTAAGTTTTTGCGTATACCAAAGATTGCCTGTCTCTAAGTATCATGGTGAAGTTCCCTTGATTTGTGTACAATTTCTTACAAAATTCAAGATGTTTTTCGGAATGTTTTTTCAGAAATATGCTCTGGGGAAACAATACCATCTTAAAGTTTGAAAACCTTTGGAATATTCGTTCGCGTAGTTTATCATTTTGAGAATACCCCACGAGGTTCCCACCTCCGTGAATTAACACAACAATGTCATTGCGGGAATGGCCAGAAGTCTGGTTCTTGGCAAAGTCAAGGTTCTTGTTGGTACAAGCATAAAAGTTACAGTAATACAGAAGTTGTATACCCAGGCGTCTCAAGAGATACACCTCGCCCGCTGTTATAGCCGGGTCACCTTTGTTTTCAAAAGCAGCAATGTCCAATAGTATTGCATACTTGTAAGGAGAAAGTATATCAGAAAACAGGTTGAAATGAATTCTCTGCGCCTCCCTTATGACGGCAATGGACGATGTCAGACTTGGAGAAAGTGTATCCGTTTCTTCTGGAGTCAGGATTAGTTTTCTTTGGAGAATTTCTCCTACCCTGGGCGTGTTTGTGGAAAGGTCCGGGATATACTTCGAAAATGCATTTCCTTCAAATGATTTCCCGAAGAACTCACTGCATTTGGAAATACTCCCTGGTAATAAATAACGATATACATCATGGATGTTGCTGTTGTTTCTGCCGCCGAAGGATCTCATAATGATAGCACAGAAACAGAGAAAGGAAAGTCCCAATAAACGTCTTCCAACGAATTCTGAAAGGCAAAAAGAAAGAAGAACAATTATGTTTGATCACAGTATGTATGCATGCGAATAGTTCGTTTTTGTACTCACACTGAAGAAGCAGATGTGTCATAGAAATCGAATACTTGCCCAAAATGTTCCATATCAATAATACAAGCAAATGCTTGTAGATGTCAACGACCCCAATCAATATGTCAACATGTATTTAAAATAACACTTCCAGTTTTGCAATCGATGTCAGAGATATTTTCATATTCATTAATGTGTAGTTTAAAATTCTACATTGCAATTACTAAATAATGAAATACTTACTCGATGGTAGACTGATAATGGAGGACAAGGCGTTTTCTTTTTTGTCCAAGACGTACATGGTTAAACCAAAGGTACAGATGCCAAGTCCGATGCAGTTAGCAAGCGTTGCCTCCCTTTGTCCTGCTGAGTAAAGCATCAGCACAACGAGGACCCTCTTAAAGATGTTGGCGACAGAGTGACTGACTACAGACATGTAGAGAAGCACGACGTTGGTGGAGATGTAGGAGTAGATGACGTGGAAGACGCTGGAGCACAGTCCTGTGTTAACCAGGAATAAGGACAAGGTTGACAGAAGTTTTTGTGAAGTAAGGTAGTAAGTGCCAATAGCCAGGGCAACACAAACACCTGCAATGCTGGAGACAACTCTCTTTGGTCTCAGCTGGATGTTTGAAGTGGAGGTACCCTTCTGTTCCAGTTTGATAGCCACGTTTCTGAAGGCCAGGATTAGGTTGGACGTGAAGGCCACGGCAATACCAGCTGCTGTCAAGGGCGTGTTAAAGGAATTTCCACAGAAACCAACAGCACCACCTATGATGATAGGAAGAGTAATATAGACGGAGGGTGGTACAGGTGTTCCTAAAGCCAGACGCTGAATAATGGCACTGGTTACTGGTTCCAGGAGCTTTATGGCGAATGTTGACGTGGCATGTACCATCGTCATGCTGTAGTTTGTTGCCATGGTAGCCAACGTGTGACAGGAAACCTTTACCCATAATATCTTTTTGGCCTCTGTGGAACGTGGGTGCGAGAGACGTAGGTCGGTGAGTAGACAGCACATGGTAACCTGACATAGTGTAATGATAAACGCCCATAAAAGCCCATTATCTTGGACGTTGGCGGATGTTCCCAAGAAGAGATGGGTAGACTGGTGGCAAAGGAACGAAGTCACAGCCCAGCCGATGAATGTTGCGGAACCAAAGATGAACGTCAACTGAAAATAATATTAATTATGCAATTTAGATAAGGTAGACAATCAGTGTGCAGAGTTCATTTTAATAATAAAATCTAAAAAGTTATTTACCTGTTGTGATACGAATGTATGATTATATGGCGCTTAAAGATCTTATGTGTTGCGATACTTTTTCCTATGTGTATTATTACGAATCACTTAAATGCATGCCATCGAATACTGCAACTGTCGAGAACACCCTGTCGATTGAAGTTATATTGATCTGTGTGTTTTGTCTTTACAACTACTGAGTACATCCTGTAACCTCCATATTTATTGATCTCAGGAAAATATATAACTGTGTCCTCATACCCTTAAGAGGGAATGAGTGCATCTTGGTGTTTAAGGCCAATACTCACAAACCATTGAAAAGACTATAGTATTTACCACTCATACAAAATAGAAAAAGTGTCATTGGTTACATGGATCTCTCTCTCTCTCTCTCTCTCGTGTGCATGTTTCGCAAACATGGTAATCCACGAAACTTTGCCACTGCTGTGCACAGTAAGTTAAGGGATTTAAAACTTCACAACGAAAATGTTTTGAAGCAGACACCAATAGTGTATCATGTTCAGCGACGTTGGAGGAGCTGCGTCCCTTTGAGTACATGAACTCAACCTTAGCTGTAACCTCAAATCTCAAGCCCGTCCAACGTCGCCAATCCCCACAACAAATAAATCCCTAAGCCACATGCAAAGTATTATATTTTCCACCCTTACGTACCTGAAAGGTGAAAAAAACGTCACATTAAACACATGTGGTAAATTCAAGGTAATATATATTATGCAACAGGACGTTATCAAAGTGCAACAGACTTCAGCATTTTAAATGCAGCCTGGCAACGTGTGCACGTCCGGGTATAACCAGTGTGCAACTGGACCATGTGAAAGGCGGATTACAATCTGGATTTATGCCTGATGATTCTACAGCAAATCAACGAACTTATCTTAATAATTTCATCGCAAGTGCAGTTGACCAAGGAAAGGAATTCAGAGCCGTTTTCTGTGATGTAAGCCAAGCCTTTGATAAAGTTTGGCACAAAGGCATTATTCATAGACTTCATGCTTATGGTGTACGGGGAGAACTTTTGGAGTGGTTTAGATGTTATTTTGATAGTAAAAAGCAAAAAGTGGAAATAAATGGCTATAGTTCAGGTATTAAGTCTGTTGAAGCTGGCGTGCCCCGGGGTACCGTTTTAGGACCGCTTTTTTTCATATTAAGGACATTGTACATGATATAGATTGCAACATTCGCATTTTTGCAGCTGATACATCAATATATGCTATAATAGATGAACATATTACAGCAGCCGCAATTATAAACAAAGATTTGGCAAACATTTCAGATTGGGCTAAAAAGTGGCAAGTTTTAATCATAGTAAGACTGAGAGTATAATGTTCACTCTAAAAACGAAAAACTATGTAAAACTTATTAATGAATGACAAAACTATTAAAGAATTTGATAACCAGAAACACTTAGGTATAACACTTCAAAGCGATTGTTCTTGGAAAGTTCATATAGCTGAAATGATAAAGAAAATTAGTCCAATGATCAATTGCAGGATAAGTTTGAAATACCGTTTATCTCATTTATATATATATATGACATTGTTGTTATAGATTCCAACATTCGTCTTTTTGCGCACGATACATCAATATATGTTATAATAGATGATCATATTACAGCAGCCGCAATTATAAACAATGATTTGGCAAACATTTCAGATTTTGCTAGAAAGTGGCAAGTAATTAGTTTTAATCCTAGTAGGACTGAGGGTATAACGTTCACTCAAATAACGAAAATCTATGTCAGACCGAAATTATTAATGAATGGCGAAACTATTAAAAAACTTGATAACCATAAACACATAGGTTGATATAGGTGACATAATAAAGAAAATAAGTCCAATGATCAATTGTCTGAGAAGTCTGAAATACCGTTTATCTCGGAAAGCGCTAATGCTTTATATAAGTCCTTTATCTTACCAAGTTTTGATTACTGCTGCCATATATGTGATAACTGTACGATTGAACAGGCGATTTTACTGGAAAAAAATTATATTGAGACGAATTAAGGGCTTTTTGCGGTGCGGTTCGTGACACCAGTCAGGATAAAATAAACATTGAGACCAATTACAGCACATTGAAAAAAAGACGACATCGCTCAAAACTCATAACTGTATGTAAAATGTATCATCGTCTGACTCCTGATTATCTGAACGATCTTGTACCAGGTAGAGTATTTGAACAGAGCAACTATAGACTTAGAAACAGTACTTCCATTCAAACTTTTAACTGTAGAACGCCAAGATATGTTCAATCATGTTTTACCGAGCGTGATTATGTCGTGGAATTTATTGCTGCTAACGCTATTTCCCTTAATCAATTTAAAACCGTGATAAACCCAACAGAAACTCACAATTACTTTAATTTAAATTTTTGGACTAGATTTTTCCAAATCATCCATTGTTGCCTCTAACTCGGCTGCAGTGAGCTTAACACACACAGATATAATCGACGTATATCGGAAACATCCAAGTCTTCATGTGGTCATTATAACGGTCAATTCACTATCATTTCACATGTAAGAAATATCATAATTTAAGAACAACGCTGTATCTTTATATTCAAGGATACGATGTTAAAACTGATCTATACGTTAACGACGCAGTGAATAACTCAACTAATAGTAACATTCTCAACTCATTACACCAGTTCATTTCTAAAAGTAGCTACTTCCAGTGATTATCGCTACTACATATATACTCAGTATAATATAGTTCATATAACTGGATTTTCTGCTGCAGCTCATTTCGTTGCTTGGCATAACCAACACCATAACGAACATATTCAACATTCAATCATATATTGAATGTATGGTGTTCTCTCAATATTCTGCCTCAGAATTATTCTTTTGTTGTTAAATTATTTCATTTATGTATTCAGCTTTTGGAAACTGGAGCGGCGTTCATATAAGTAACTAAGCTTGTTCGCCTATCCAGGTTTCAATTGTGGTGAAATACAAAATCTTTAAACCATGCAAAGTATACACAGGGTGGTCATGCAAATGTTGAGAGAATTTTCCCTGAAAACTTTGCGAAAAATCAATTTCAAACCTTTGGTAAATGTCAATCATCTTAAACACTTATATTCATCATAGTTTAAATACCCGGATTTTATGTACATTTACTAATGATCTATGTCAAGCGAATTAATTATAAAAACGAAAATAGAAACATTTCCTTATTATATAATACGATATTTATGAGCAATTCTGAAACATATGACTGTATAATTAGTGATAAACAATGATAAATGAACCATACCTTTTTAGTGGAACAGTCATACATTGTCGGTAATGTCAATGCGTAACGGTTAGATATGTTGTCACACGCTCACAGTACGTCGTTTACGGATATCTACGGTACTACTGTCACGTGGTCTGGTCAAGCCGAGATGCACAGGTGCGAGCTGATGACAAAAAAGTGAATAAAACCCCTTCCAAAGAGCATATAGACACTATTACCTGAGCCAGGTGTGTGACGAAGTACCCTGGGTTAGGACTGTGCACAATGGGGATAGCTATCGACATTTGGAGAGGAAGGATTGGACTTTTTCTATACCGTGGAAGATCAATCGTCAATTTTTACCCCGGTATACGGCTACCTACAGGTACACGTCTGTCTCTTCGCCTTTGTTTAGTTGTTGTCTTGCTGTTGGTTGCCTGTGGGGATGTCCAATCGAACCCCGGACCCAGAGGTCATGGCAATCAGAGAGACTATGGGCAGATATCACAAGACAGGTCACAGACAAGATTATCATCTAGGAACGTTTCGGGCGCCTGTGTGTTAGCTGAGATGACAGGTGAGAATCCATCGTGTACACTGAATGATCTCAATGTAACTCTGATGAGTATCCAATCCGAGATTACCTCCCTTCACAGCAAGTTCGATGTGTTTACACATGACTTTACCAACAAGATAACACAACTCACAAATGAAAATCAAGAACTTAAAGAAAAAGTGTTTAAACTTGAAGATAAGTTGGATTCCCTCGAGGCTCATTCTAGGAGAAACAATTTGATTTTTCATGGATTGACGGACAAGGTTAATGAATCATGAGAAGATTGTGAAAACTGTGTGAGTGATTTTATGAGTAACACTTTGGAAATAAATGAGGCATACAGTATTGACATTGAGAGAGCCCATAGGCTTTACTCCAAGGTAGGAACTCGACCAATGGTCACATGCAACGTAAAACACAACTTTGCAGATTCTGATACCTTTCGGTATGGACTTACCGAAACAAAGCGTCAAAAATGCAAATTCAACTTATAAAGTTGAAAAATAACGCGATGAAAAAAAACGTGCGAAATCGGAGTTCAAACGTTTCACTAATTTTCCCCAGACTTTTCTGGGGAATACGGGTTTCAACAGCTGGGCTGCGCTCATAGCACGTGCGCAGTGAAATAGGTTCGCGCAAATTGGAAGCGGGCTGTCTGGTGAATACTCGGTGAAGGCTTTGGTGTGAGCTATTTTCATAATGTTTTGTTGATATCTCACAGGCGCGAGCTTTTTATATGTTATGACAGTAAATAAACTGTTTATATAATTTCATTTGTCTATTTCACCACACGTTCTTCTTACCGAGTCACTTTCTCAGTTCGATACTTAAAAGCAATGTCATTATTTAGCGTTGACACAATTTCTAACTGTGATATAGA